TTTGCCTTACCATGTTGTGTAAACCCAGCTCTTAAGGTTTGTGGGCTAGAACAACAGGTGAACCCAGCCCCTTGTGTTTTAGTCTGCAAACATGGTGAGCCATGATGGGTGAATCCAGCCAAACCAGGCTAAAGGAGCAAACCACGGTCAGCACGATAAATTAATCCAGCCAGACCTCGCTCAATAAGCTAGACATAGTTAAGTAAGCCATGGCATGAGTTCAGAACTGTAGACAAATCCTAATGTGAATGACGTAGCAAACTCTTGCTTTAATTTAATTGTACAAGTGATCTTTCGGTAGCATAATGAAAATCCGTGGTAGGGATCCATCACTGCTAAGCTCTGCTGACTCATACTTGTTCAGGCGGAAGAGTTCCTCTGTCCATTTTTTCTGTTTCCTTAATGTAAATCCATTCATCCAACTCTCTATGTATCTGTCCAACCATCCATGTGTGTTTTTATCCATCTATCCATCTGTTTGTTAATCCATCTGTCCATCCATCTCTTTGTTAATCTATCTATCCATGAATCCATCCATTCTTCCCTCCTTCCCCATCCATCCATTTATTAATCTATCTATCCATCTATCTATCCATGCATCCATCCATTCTTCCCTCCCCATCCATCCATTTTTCTATCCCTCTCTCTCTATCTCTCTAAACTAGAGTTGGTTGGTAAATGAAGATTCCTTTCTCCTCCCATCTCCCTAAGGGCCTCCCAGACCTACACTCTTAGTAACATAAACTGGAATCCCTAGTCAGCCGTAATGTCCCATTTAGAGAGTTTCCTATTAATTATATGAAACACAGAAATCAGTGGATTGATGCCCCATCAGAGACACTGAAACTTTCCAACTTTCGCCTGGGCTCCAAGTCACCCATACATTGACTTTCAAGAAAAATCTTCAGCCTTGCAAGAGTTCTTGGCTGCTGCTGTTATTGTTGGTTTCTCTTGTAAAGCTAAATTCACTTATCCCATTCCCCCCACTATCCCCCACCCATCTCCGTCCTTATATTGTGCAATATGACAGTTGTTTCCTTTGATGAGAAGGCTTTCCTGTCGTCAAAGAAAAAGGATAATTTGCTTTTCCTCTTCTTCTTCTTCTTCTTTTTTTTCAAGGAGCTAATCCTCCTGGGCCATTTCTGGGCCTGAGAAACAGCTTTTCTCTCCCCCCACTCCGAAGACAAGCCTCGCCATACAATGGACATCATAAACCGACTCCAACCTGCACTTGAGATTGAGAAATCAGATTTCCACCCAGTCATTCCTGCAGGATTAGCTAAATCTTAGATCCACACTAACCCTTCACAAAGCTGTCAAGATTAGTCTGAATTTATTTTATTCCAGCTTTTGGGGGGTGGAGTGATGTGGTTTCTTTCCAAGAAGGATTAGGGACAGAGAGGGGGGTCTATATATATTTACGATGCTCGTATAGAGGAACTAGATTATGGGGAGGCAGAGAAAGGGGGGGAGAAAGCAATGGCTGTAACTGTTCAAATAGTTGGCCACCAAACACAGGGCATGTGCCCGTTCTGATGGGCATTTCCCCCCCTCTTTCTCCCCCTTCCATTTTTGCAAGTTTACCAGTTGATGATAAATAGATCGCTTCCATAAAGCAGCGACCGACTGTCCGTACCTCTGAGGCTCTCCGCGTAGCTGAGATCCCCGGGCAGAAGGATGTCAGCAGAACCTGCTCTAGCCGCTGAGCTGGAGAAGACCACCCACAAGAAGCCCTATTCCTTCACCATCGAGAGCATCCTGTCGGGCGCCGCCGAGAACAGACCCCCCGTCCTTTTTCCCTTCTGTTTCCGAGGGATTTGGGACCATGAGCCAAAAGGGCTGTGCCTTTGGGGGAACCTGGGCGCTCTCCCCGAGGAAGAAGAAACAGACGAGCCGGAGAGAGCTGGGTTGTGTAGCTGTTGCTGCTGTTCTCGGGGCGGCGCTCACATGTGGCAAGACAGTGCCAACTGGCTTGGTAAGGATTCCTGTCGGAGAATGGGGTGCAAAAAGACTTGTGGGGGGTGTGTGTGGGGGCTCCCATTGGGGCCAGCTCCTTCCAGCATCACTTTATGGAGAACCAGGACCCCAGGGTCAAAATCTGTCTTGTAGTTTCCTAAAAGTTTTTGTCTGTTCCAAAGATTTCTGTTTCTTTACTTCATTCAATAGAATTTCCTTGGGTTTGTGTGTGCGTGCGTGTGTGTGTGTGTGTGTGTTAAACTGGCTTTATTGTTTCAAGGTGGGGGGGAATGAAAGGGTTGCTGGGTTGTGTCTCTGCTTCATTTCTTGGCACCCAGCTGTAGCCTCCCTGGTTTCCTGTGGGGAATTCAGACATGTGGGGAAACCAAGGAGGCTTCAGGAAAGACGATGGGACAGCGAAGGACAAGAGATTGACCGGACCCCACCTGTTCTCTCAGAACTAAGGTAAGTGCCAGAACTGAACACCCATGAGTATTTTATGGAGACTTTTGGGGAGGGGGTGTTGTGGAGTACAAAACCAATTCTTTCTCCATCCAATGAAGGAAGAACAGTTGAGGGGAAAAAAACCACAGAAATGGCACAGGAAGAAATCACTGTGTTTTGTTCTAGAGAACACCCTGACTTGGTATTATCTAGCCCAGGCTAGGTCAAGATTTTTAAACTACAGTTTGTTGAGCAAGCCGAAGGGTCTGGTGCAGACAGAAAGCTAAGCCACACTTTACATCAAACATACTTCACATTAAGCAAGAAATACATCAAACAAGCGATGTGCAAATTCAGACAGTTGCGCATTCATTTTTCTGAGCACAGAAACCGCTGCAGTGAAAATGGCACCATTTACACATAATAAGGAGATATTAGCAGGTTTGGAGGGATGAACCTAATGGGTGACATTTATCACCCTGGGAAGCATTTAGCTCACAACCTTCTTCCGAGATTTACAAGCTGATCTCGCTCACATCCCTATCTTGTTCATTCCTATTTTAATCCATCTCTGTTATAATAGGAACTTTGTGTTATAATAGAACCACAGAGTTAGAAGAAACTCTGCTTCATCTATGGCTGGAGACAACTCTTAAAGGTCTCTAGCCATCCGGTACTTAAAGGGTTCTAACACAGGGAAATGTATTATACATAAATCAGTTAGACCTGGTTCAAACATTCTGTAAAATCCTGGTTTGTAGAATCCCAGCTTTGGATTGGATGGGTTTATGCAACACATGAAGCTAGAAACTATACCTTACAAACCACATTGGTTTTGAGAGATGTACAAACCAGGTTTTCCATCTTTAAAATGGTTCAGGTGGCTAACCGAATGACCCAGGAAAAATAACACTCTTAACCCGGTTACCGAGTTCAACCATTTCTGGGTTTGCCCTCTTCACTGAAATTGCCAAATGGATGGGATACACATTAATCTCCCCTTCCCAACCCTAACCAAGGTGAACATTCACAAAACTTTGGCTGATGTGTGAATAACAACCACGAGGTCGTTGAAGGACTTGGTTACGTGCCTCGCAAACTCAGCCAGCTAATTTCTAACCTGTTACATTTGGAAAATTGGGGTACAAGGGAGTGTACAGCCTAGCCAAGAGGAAAGTATTATATTTCGGATGAAGTAAAAGCAACTTTCTTTCTTGAGCTGGGGAGAAGGCCACGCTCAGTAGATAAGCAGAGAAAAGCATCTCTCTTGAGCTGGGGAGAAGACCACCCTCAGCGGATAAGCTGATGGCCATATCTTCCCACCCTTGGGACTAACAGACTGGATCACGGCTTCTCTGGAGGCCAACCCAACACCTTGCATTTTCCTTTTAGCTGACACCAGGTATGCCTGGCCCATGCGGCTGTTCCACCCCACGGGCAGGCCATGCAGGAATCACCGCGGGAGCCCGAGTGAGCTGCAAACCTTCCACCAGATCCAGCGACGGACTCGGCGGCATCGTACCATCTTCACGGAGGACCAGCTCCAGGCCCTGGAGGCCCTTTTCCATAAGAATCAATATCCGGATGTCATCACCAGGGAGCACTTAGCCAGCCGGATCCACCTGAAAGAAGAGAGAGTCGAGGTGGGTTTCTGGGGGTGATAAAGAGCAGGACTGAAGGGGAGGGAATGGAAGGGGTTGAGTCAGAAGACCTCCAAGGTCCCTTCCAACCCAATGATTCTGTGAGGCATGAATTCAGAGGCAGAGTTGTTCAGAAGCCTTCCAGAAGACCAGGTCAGGGATCAAGGGCTTTACATTACAAGTCAATTTTGGGGAGGTTAAAGTGCCCTACGTTGAATTGGGGGCATTAAAGGGCACCAAGCTGTCATGTTGTTTGGATCTGGCCCTCGGCATCGTATGGATTCACCCCTGCTGGTTAAGAAACCCAGTTGATCACTTAGGAGGTTGTGAAAACCGAAGTCATAATGGCTTACCCCCCCCAAATCACCAAGCTGTCATCTTTAACAAACCAGGGCTTAGCAACTTGTTTGAACCCGCTGGAATGATGAAGGATGCTGAAAAACATCTGTTTTCTTTGCACTGTGAATCATTTTCTATACTTCTCAACTTTTATATTCCTCTATCTCCTTTTTTTCCCTGCCTCTCCTCCTCCCTCTGCCCCAGGGAAAAGACCCCCTTCTCTCTGATTGCGAGGAATTTTAACCTTAGGACTGAGTTCCCACATTCTGAGGAGCCTGTCTGTTGAACCATGGTTTGCTGAACCACTGGGTTCACGCAACATCCTAAACCCAAACTAAATGAAAGCTTCATGCAACCTGTCAACCCACACAATGGGTTGACATTCATTTCCAAGCAACTATATTTCACATGCTGGATAGGGCTGTTTGTGATTAATTATGATTAAAGCATATTTTAGGGTCTGGCAAAAAATAACATTATAGCAAGAAACCATCCGTTTAAGGAAGAGTTGGTAAAAGTGGACAGGGCATTGCTGATCTGTTGGGAGAAGAAATGGATATTCTGTTCTCAGTATTTGTGGTTAAAAAAAAAACAGAGTTCCTAGTGAATGACTGGAAAAAGTTCATAGGGTCTTACAAATTTTGCACCCTATTAAAAACCACCCATCGTTCATTAAGATCCATAAGGATGACCGTACTGATTAAAAATTTACACCCCTTTATATGGTTCTACTCTGTTCTGATGTTTTATGCGGATGTCATGCCACATAAAAAAGAACAGCGTTGGACGGGGGGGTAACAATTAAATTAAAAATAAATTTAAGTGTGTTTAAATATGATAAATAAAATAAAATAATGTCCTTCTTCCGTTGTAAACCCACAGGTTTGGTTTAAAAACCGCAGAGCCAAGTGGAGGCATCAGAAAAGGACTTCGGCTTCATCGCTCATCCTTCCAGGCGCCAAGATTTCTTCCGAGGAGAATTGCTAATGGACAGGTCAAGAGCTGGTTGAGTTGAACGTGGCCAGCACTGGAGCTTGCAAGCCTAAATGATCAATACAGAAACAAACAATAGGCTGTCTGGGTTCATGTATCCCACTGATAATCAGGATTAATCAATTCATTAATCGGGATTGATCAGACAACCCACATCAGGCTGTGTTCACTCAATACCCTGAGTCCTGATCTACCAGTAATAGCTGGGTTCTCTCTGATATGAACAGGGTCTCTCAGCAGGATCCCTGAACCCAGCCAACTATGGTTTATTCAACAAACGACAGCTAAACAGACTGTGGCTTAATGCAACGTGCCAATGTGATCCATAACGCCCGACGTTTGCAAAAGCTTGAAATCTGATTTATTCCCTCTGCTGTAGGCGGGTGCTAGCTCTGTTGCGGATGGAGCATCCTTAAATTAGGATTCACTGCCCGGTCGGCCTGATAGAGTTTCTTTGCTAGCCAGCCCCGATGCCCAGAGTAGGATTTTCAGCCTGAAATGTTTTACCAAGTCAGCGTTTCAGTCTAGCATTTCTGGCAATGTGATGTATCCTTGTTTTTATTTGCTTCCAGCCCGGATCTAAAAACAGAAACTCCATCAAGACGCACAACTGTAAATAAAAATAAAGCAAAATGAAACACAGACTTTGTTTGTGTTTTCCTTTTTTATTAGGAAAAGCAATTTCTCTGTTTTGGGGGGAGGATCATGATCAGGGAAAGAAACTGAAAACTCCCGTCCTGCAAACATCTGCCTAGAGAGAGATGGGGTGCAAATCCCAACGTTCCTAAATACAGAAAACAGGGATAAACTTGCCTATTTTCCAACCAATCCTCTTTTCAAAATCCTGTCCCTGCTCGCTGCCCCCTTTCCCATCCAATCAACATGTTTCTAGTGTCAGAATCGACCCAATATAAAAACGGCCTTTTACCAGCTCAGAAGCTTCAAATCGTTCAATGGCTAATTCCAGGTTCCATTATCATGTGCTTTGTCCCCAGGTGCTTTGGACTACAGCCCCCATCTTCCCTGCCTCCTGGGTTCATGCTGAGCGGGACTGATGCTGTAGTCCAAAACAGCCTAAAGCAAGGGGAAATTTGGGATCTGATCATGGCTTAATTTGGCAGCCTGGACTTTCTTCTATTCGCCCTGGCTTTTCTCAAAAGAAAGTCTTGCTCTTTCAAATACAGATCTTTTGGGATGGAGAGGGATATAAAGATAGATATCTATATATAAATATATCTATATTTATATATAGATATAGATATCTATATTTATATATAGATATAGATATCTATATATAGATATCTATATTTAT